CCTTCTATGGTCAAATACTTCTAAACACCATTTGATGCCTGCAACTCTCAAATGTGTATCTCCAGTCCAAAACACACTCTGGAACTACCAAACTTCTACACTGACTGGGTGTTTTTTAGTTTTCTTTCTTTTCGGAAAGACAAATGGAACCCGTGCTCTTCCTCATCAAGGCCGCTCCATGTGTAGTCTTCCCACGCACTTGAAACGAATTCTCTTCCTCCAGAGCTCCTCCTCAAAGCCTTAAAACTGTCCTTGACTCCTTTCTCTCATACCCAACACTTAATCCACAGGAAATCCCATGGGCTTCCCCGGTGGCTCAGACGGAAAAGCGTCTGCCTGCAATGCAGGAGACCCAGGTTTGATCCCTGGTTTGGGAAGATCCCCGTGGGAAGGAAATGGCAACACACTCCAGTACTCTTCTTTGGAAAATCCCATGCACAGAGGAGCCTGGTGGGCTATAATAAAGTCCATGGGGTCGCAAAGAGTCGGACATGAATGAGCAACTTCACTTTCACTTTCAACCATCAAAACATACTCAGAAACGAATCACTTCTCACTGCCTCCCATGACACCATCCTCACTCTAACGGTCATCTTCTATCAACTGCGTTATGGTAAAAACCCTATTCTTTCAGCCTTATTACCTTTAAGTATATCATCGACACAGTGATCATTGAAATTACAAGTCAGAGCGTGTCAATCTTCAGTTATAACCTCCTCATCCAGCAGCTCCCCCTTTCACTCAAGAGAAAACGCATGACCCTTCATTATGTTCCCAGGACCTGAGACCTGCTCTCACCGCTTCTCACTCTCATTCCCTATCCTCTCAGCTCCCCCCGCTCAGAGCTCCTCACTGCACCCCAGACAGTCCAGATATGTCCCTGCCTTTGCCTTTGAAATAAACACATCCCCTGACTAGAATCTTCTTTCCCCGGAAATTAAGCAGGTTAGTTTACTAGCTTCCCAGTTCAAGGTTTTGGTCAAATGTCACTTTCTTGTGTAAAAATTGATCAGTGGATAGCTTTGCATGCTAAGCATGAAGTATTTTATTTTATCTACTATTTTTATTTTATGTAGAGAGAATATATTGTATTTATTTAATAACATTCACTCTTTTGTAATTATTAAAGCAGCATATATCCTGCTTTGTTTTATGCCCTGGCATTTAGCATCTTCCAATATAATATATAGTTTATTTATTAAGTGCCACTCAGCATAGAATGTAACTCCTAAGAAAGAGTCTTCATTAGTTTTATTCACTATTACAAGCATCTAAAAATATCTCTGACACACAGTAGGTGATCAATAAATACAACTTTAAGTGTATAAATGAAACATACTTGTCCACAAGTAATAGAGAACGACTGTGTGATGTTTCTGTTGTGTTGGTTGCTCAGTCGTGTCAGACCCTTTGCGACTCCGTGGACTGTAGCCTGCGAGTCTCCTCTGGCCATGAAATTCTCTAGGCAAGAGTACTGTAGAGTATAGCTGTTTCTTTTTCCAGGCATCGAACTCACGTCTCCTGCTTTGCAGGCAGAGTCCCTACTGTCTGAGCTACCAAGGAAGCCCTTACTGTTCAACACTTGATATTTATCATTTTCTCCTTAGAATTTTGGCCAAAATTAGACTTAGATGAAAAAGACGGCTTCCCTGGTGACTCAGACGGTAAAGAATCTGCCTGCAATGAAGGAGAATCGAGTTCAACCCCTGGGTCGGGAAGATCCCCTAGAGAAGGGAATGGCTACCCACTCCAGTATTCTTGCCTAGAAAATTACATGGACAGAGGAGCCTGGTGGGCTGCAGTCTGTGGGGTCACAAAGAGTTTGGACACAATTGAGCAACTTTCACTCTTGCTTTCCTGGCAAAAATGTTTATATTACTTGCCTACACAGTTTCTTAGATTTCTATAAATAACAGATGGGCCTTAATTCTCATAAAATTACAAAGCTGAAATAAACATCAGTGCATCTAAGAGCCTAGCGAGACCTCTAACCATGGTATCTGCACCACCTTGGAATCTCTGTAAGAATACACAACCCAGGGCCCACTCAGCAATCAGGTTCCTCAAGGACGCTCTTGCACAGAAGCAGTCACCACTGAGGAGTCTGTGCTGGTTACCACCACTGATAATCAGGAAATGTAGGATGGTTAATGGGCTTCCCTGGTAGCTCAGCTAGTAAAGAATCCACCTGCAATCAGGAGACCCAGTTCCATTCCTGGGTCGGGAAGATCCCCTGAAGAAGGGACAGGCTACTCACTGCAGTGTTCTTGGGCTTCCCCGGTGTCCAGATGGTATAGAATCCACCTGCAAAGCAGGAGACCTGGGTTCGATCCCTGGGTTGGGCAGATCCCCTAGAAGAGGGCCTGGCAACCCACTCCAGTATTCTTGCCCGGAGAATCCCATGGACAGAGGAGCCTGGCGGGCTGCAGTCCCCGGGGTCGCAAACAGTCGGACACGACTGAGCGACTAAGTACAGGACAGAATAGTTAATACTTACTCTTAAAGAATATTTAGGCCAAGCTTTACCATTTTTCACTGTGTTATGGTTTAATTTTTAGTTCTTCCAATTCTTCCAATATTCAACTAAACTTTCCTTGTGGAAATTCTTCCAATACTCAACTAAATTTCCCTTATTGAAATACAAAGATATCATTTATAAAGATAGAATTTATAAAGAGGAAAAACCAATGGGCCTGCTTACCTGAATTTCAAGCATTTTGGTAAAATTACTCATAATGCTTAAACAACATTTGGGGAAAAACCATTTATAGTTTTAATATTTTGACTTTTTGAATAAAATGGAAAGTTATATTCTAATTATTACTAAAGGGTTGAATTATGCAAAAATTTCACTGATATATGTGGGAGTATTATTTAGTTGTAAGAACTACGAACTGAAAATAGTTTTTACTTGTTTTATAAAACATACTGTAGAACCTCATTAATTGGCATCAATTGGTGGAATGTCCTGTTTGATTTATAAAATGTTACTTTATTACTTTAAACTACACACAGCATTTCTTTGTAAACTGCTTAAAGACTTACTAAAGGCATTGCTTCAATGAATAGATAAGATGTACAGAAACAAAGAGCATTTCAGCTATTTAAAATAAATTGGGTAAAATGATATCACTTTCTAAAAGTTCGTAAGATATTATCATCATTTAATAAATGGGAACAAGATGAGGTTTAAAAGCACCAGGAAGCAGTCTAGTCTCTTAAACTGTACTATGTTGTGTTTCAGCTCAACTCTTTGTGACCCTGTGGACCATTACTGGCCAGGCTCCTCTGCCCGAGGGCTTCTCCAGGCCAGAGCACTGGGGTGGGCTTCCATGCCCTCCTCCAGGGGATCTTCCCGACCCGGGGATCGAGCCACACCTTTTGTTCCTCCTGCACAGGCAGGAGGCTTCTTACCACTAGTGCCCTTGGGATCACAGACTGCACTCTTTAAAACAGTTTATTCATTTATTGAAACACCTCTTCTTCAATGATTATCAAAGATAAAACGCTAAAGGATTATGAGTTCTTAATGAAACACTTAATGAACTGTTATATTTTAAATTGCAAACTCTAGATTTTAGCTGTAGTTATAAAATGGGGATATGCTACCCTTTAGTGACAATCTACCACTAAGTCAGGCTATGAAGTAACCACTTCCACAGCCACGTGGGGACAAGGAAATATCATAAACCATACTCAGAGAATAAAAGTTTTACTAAGGTCTGAAAGCCAAGCAAAAGAATAACCTTCAGAAGTTTCTCTGAAAAAAAAAAAAAGGCATATACCAGATAGTTACCAAAAATCATGAAATAAGAAAATTAACCTAGTTAGGGTCCTTGGTCTATATAATAAGATCCTTATTATCTCGTCGGACAGTAAAGGAGAGTAAAGAATTATAATTCACAATGTACTGCATAGATCACTATGGCTCAATTAATTTAAAAATTGCAATAATCATGATAATTTAAACACTTCATATTCATATCCAGATTTATCTGGAATTGGAAATTTCAAATGCAATCTTTTTTCCTATGGAGACATTTCCTGTGAATTCATTTAACAATCAAACTATACTACTTAGAATAACATAAACTAAAAATTATTCAAAGATCATCTATAGTATCATTAACTATAACAGTTCTACTTATGGACTGCATCCAGTTACTCAGAAAAAACCAAGGACACAGCTCAGGCTTTTTCAACCCTGGCATTGTTAACCTTTGAGGTTGAGTATTTCTTTATTGGGAATAAGGAGAGAGGGGCTGTGATGGGCACTGTGTGATATTTAGCAGCATCACTGGCCTCTATCAACTAGATACCAAGAGCATCCACCAGCTGGGAAAATCGAACATGTCTGGAGATATTTCCAAATGACTCATAGGTGTCAAAATTGTCCCTTGACAGAAACCACCAACATAAGATGAAAGGAGGAGGAAAGGAAGGCGAAGAGAGAAAACGTATTTACACCAAGCATTCTTAAACAGTTAATAAATCTATATAAAATAAAGTTGAATTGCTAGTTGCTAGATTTAAATGTGTTTACTGTAGTTAAAGGATATTTATAAGAAAAAATCTTTTTAAGGAAAATCAATGTTTTATATTGTGAAAACAATAAAAACGTCATCAATCTCAGATAAACGTCTACTGTTCTTAATAAGAAAAAATTAATAAATATCTTTTTCCTATTTCTTATTTCTACCTTAAGAATAACACCCTACCTTCCTGCTGTATCCCAGGAGTAAAAACAATTGCAGTCTTTGTTTTCAGACTTAAAGGCAAGAGAAGAGCTTTCTCCTCTTTCTACAGGTGGATTCTGAAAGTGCTCTCCAGGTGACCTGAGGTGACCGACAAGTTTATTATGCATTTACACACAAGTTTAACAGGACCTGCATATTAACAAGAGTAACAACTTGTTATAGCAGCCAAAATTAATTTTTGTATTCACTTATTACCTATATACAACTCTCTCAACTTTCTCACTCGTTTCCTCTCTGGCTTACCATAGATGTAACTGATCGTGCGTCTTCTTCATAATTGACGACTGGAGGTGGCTCTTTCCCATCATTTTCCTGCACCTTTTGCTCCAGCAATTCTTTCTGTGCTGTAAACTTTGCCTCAGTGCATCTCAGCTGCTGGACTGACTGCTTCAGCTCTTCAAGGGTCTGTTTCTGGCTTAGCAGAAGTACAATGCTAAAAGAGAACACATTTAATATAAGTTATTTCAACTACTTTAAGAAATAAAGACTTTGAAGGAAACTATATACTGTATATATGTAGATTATGTTCCTTTCTTCATTTTCCTCTTTGTAAGAGTCTTTCAGAACTATAAGAATTATGAAACTAAACAGATTTTGAGTCATCACAGTAGTTGTTAAACGCTAGCATTAACAAAATTGAAGGAAGTGTTTGGAAGCAAAAACCAAATTCAAAATGCTTTCAAATTATTACAATCTATGGCACTCATTTTATTTTACAGCTAAACCGTCTACCTCACAAAGTACAGACATTTTGGTCCAGAAATGTAGAGACTAAAGTGAATTAATATGACTGAAGCAGAATCTTATTTCAAATCTCAAATGGAATATAGCTAAAATCAGATCTGTGCCTAGAGAAGAATAAATCAAATCAAGGTGACAGTTGGAAGCAAGCTGCGTGGCTATTGTGAGGATTGTGTGCTTAGAGCTAGGGAAAGTTTTTCTGACAAGGACTAAACAAGTGTAAGTCCTCAAATCTTTCCAATATACACCACTATAAAGACAGTAGACCTCTTCATTCCTCCTTTAGAGAACACAGAGGCCACACGTTTACCTTATTGTGATTTTTTTACCCTTCAAGGCTGTCCCTAATAGGAATTTCAAATTAATTTGCCCATCTTAAAGCCATAATAAAACAGGCAGCAGTGGTGAGAAACACCTTGAAAATGCTGTCATATTTAGTATATTAGTATCTGAAAGAACTGTGCCGTGCACTGCTGAAAGCAAGTTAATAATAGATTACAGACAGTTTGGAAAAAGACAGTCTCTTCAGCAAATGCTGCTGGGAAAGCTGGACAGTGCATGTAAATCGATGAAGTTACAACACGCTCACCACACACAAAATAAACATGAAATGGCCTAAAGACTTAAATGTAAAACAAGATGCCTAAAAATCATAGAAGTGATCATAGGCAACATGGTCCTACTGCATAACATAGAGAACTATATTCAACACTCTGTGACAAATTGTCATGGAAAAGAACATTTTTTAAAAGTATATTTGTGTATAACTAAATCACTTTGCTGTATAGGAGAAATTAACACAATTGTAAATCAATTACCTGTCAATTTAAATAACTGATCAAAAACATGAGACGATAAGACAAAGACTAGGAGAAGAGATTTACAAAAGACATATCTGATAAAGGACTGTTATCCAACGTATACAAAGATTCTTAAATTTCAATAATAAGAAAACAAACAAACTTCTTAAAAAATGAGCCAAAGACCTTAACAGATACCTTACCAAAGAAGATATACAGATGACAAATAAGCATATAAGAAAATGCTTCGCATTATATGCCATCAGGAGAATGCAATTTGAAACAACCATGAGAGAGTATTAGACATTTATGAGAAAGGCCAAACCCCAGAACACTGACAACATCAAATGCTGGTGAAGATGTGGACTGGAATTACTGATTGGGATGCACAGGTACAGCCACTCTTGAAGACAGACTGGCAGTTTCTCGCAAACTAGGCATACTTCTACCATGTGATCCAGCAATCCTATTCCCTGCTATTTACCCAAAGGAGCTGAAAACTTACGCTCACACAAAAGCCCACACATGGATATTTACAGCAGCTTTATTCATAATTGCCAAAACTAGGAAGCAACCAATATGTCAGTCATCAGAAGAAGGATAACTCCAAGGGAATACTTTTCATGACTCAAAAGAAACAAGCTACTAGACCACTGAAGACATGGAGGACCCTTAAAAGTACATTATTAAGTGAAAGAAGCCAATCTGAAAGGCTACATAATGCATGGTTCCAACTATGTGACATTCTGTACAAGGCAAAACTATATAGAGACAGTAAAAGGATCATGGGTACCAACAGTTGGGGATGAGGGGATGGATGAATGTGTGGAGCACAGAATATCTTAATAAAAAACGCCCTACTCCTGTCCATAATGATGGGCATACGTCATTATACATTAGTTCAAACCCATAGAATGTACAACACCAAGAGTGAAACTCAATGTAGACTAGGACTTAGAATGATAATAATGTGTCATTCTAGATTCATCAATTGTAACAAATCTGATGCTCTGGTAGGCGGTGCTGATAATGTGGGACACTATGTATTGTGGGAGCAGAGGGATATCAGAAATCTCTGTACCTTTCCCTCAGTTTTGTTGTGAAATTTCAACTCCTCTAAAAAAGTCTTAAATTTTAAACACGATACATCAGTACAGATTTAACAGAATGGCTCCGATAAAAAGTAATGACAATATCAAATGCTGGTGAAGATAAGGAGAGAATATCACTAACACACTGCTAGTGGGAAGGTATAATGGTATGTGCATGCATGCAAGATGCTTCAGTCGTGTCTGACTCTTTGTGACCCTAGGAACTGTAGCCTGTCAGACTCTTCTGACCATGGGGTTCTCCAGGCAAGAATACTGGAGTAGGTTGCTCCTTCAGGGGATCTTCCCAACCCATGGATCAAAGCTGTGTCTCTTATGTCTCCTGCATTGGCATAGGGTTTATGGGATCTTTCTGCATTAATTCTTCCAACGATATGAGTGAGTGATAGTCACTCAGTCATATCCAACTTTCTGCAAACCTATGGACTGTAGCCCACCAGGCTTCTCTGTCCATAGGATTCTCCAGGCAAGCATACTGGAGTAGGTTGCCATTTCCTTCTCCAATGGTAATTATCTCCTTTAAAAATTAATTTAAAACTATGTATCATTGGGAGTTCCCTGCGAGTCTAGTGGTTAGGATTCAGCACTTTCACTGCCACGGCCTAGGTTCAATCCCTGGTTGGAGAACTGACATGCCACAAGCCACACAATGCAAGCAAAAAGAGAAAAAAAAGTCTCACTATTATTGGTGCTTCCTGTTGGAATGTGAGGTTTTTACTGTCTCATCTACCTTGGGTTCTTATATCATCTCTTTTACAAACAGGCCTTTTACAATACTTATTCAGGAGCTCCAAATGTCTACTGTGTCATATAAGCAATCTCGGACATTTTGAGACACTACCCTAGCACCAAGAGTAGGAAATACATAAATGGAATACTACGCAGCCATAAAAAAGAATGAAATATCTGCAGCAACATGGTTGGACCTAGTGATTATCATACTAAGCGAAATAAATCAGAATATAGACAAATATCATATGATATCACTTACATATAGACTCTCAAACAGAAATGATAGAAATAAACTTATTTACAAAACAGAAAAAGACTCACAGATGTAGAAAACAAACTTATGACCACCAAAGAAGAAAGGTGGCAGAGAGGGATAAATTAGGAGTTTTGGATTCATATATCTACACACTACTATAAATAATGGGAAACAGATGGGGAAACAGTGGCTGACTTTATTTTTGGGGGCTCCAAAATCACTGCAGGTGGTGACTGCAGCCACGAAATTAAAAGACACTTACTCCTTGGAAGGAAAGTTATGACCAACCTAGATAGCAATATTAAAAAGCAGAGACATTACTTTGCCAACAAAGGTCCATCTAGTCAAGGCTATGGGTTTTCCAGTGGTCATGTATGGATATGAGAGTTGGATGGTGAAGAAAGCTGAGTGCAGAAGAATTGATGCTTTTGAACTGTGGTGTTGGAGAAGACTCTTGAGAGTCCCTTGGACTGCAAGGAGATCCAACTGGGTGTTCATTGGAAGGACTGATGCTGAAGCTGAAACTCCAGTACTCTGTCCACCTCATGCGAAGAGTTGACTCATTGGAAAAGACCCTGATGCTGGGAGGGATTGGGGGCAGGAGGAGAAGGGAATGACAGAGGATGAGATGGCTGGATGGCATCACCAACTCGATGGACATGGGTTTGGGTAAACTCCGGGAGGTGGTGATGGACAGGGAGGCCTGGCATGCTGCAACTCATGGGGTCGCAAAGAGTTGGACATGACTGAGCAACTGAACTGAACTGGACTATAAATAAAGTACATAATCAACAAGGACCTACTGTATAGCACAGGGAAGTCTACTCAATATCTGACATAAGAAAATTCTTATGACATAAGAAATTCTACTGACATAAGAAAATAATTTGAAACAGAATGGATATATATATACAGATAAATGAATCACTTTGCTGTACACCTGTGACTAATACATTATAAATCAACTATATTCCAATATAAAATAAAAATTTAATTTACTAAGTAAGTAAGTAAATAGATAAGTATCCCGGCTTTTAATTTAGTTGTTTTTAAGAACAATGAGATTTGGGAGAGATATATGCCGTATTATACTGTTCTAGTCCAAACTTTTTTTAGCTAATACATCTGATCAGGAAATTAAGGAGCAATATTACCTTCATCCAATTAAGTTCACTGAGCTTTATGTATAATGACCATTTCAAATACATTATCATCTTATTATTGTTTAATAATTACCTTTTTAAAAAATTGCTGTAATCACTAATTATTTTATATGCTTACAACACCATTCAGCAAAAAAGCTAGACATATTTCAGTAGGTTAATTATAATAAATGCATGACTGTATAAAACAAGATGCACAGGAAGCTACAAATAAACCAGAAACATGGAAAGGATCAGGACTTATGCATGTGCTATTTACTCCCAATTTCTGACTACTCTTTCCACGCACTCTTCAGTCGGAGGACACTTCTGTCCTTAAAGTGAAAGCGTGAGATGCTCAGTCGGGTCCAACTCTTCGCGATCCCACGGACTGCGGCCCACAAAGCTCCTCTGTCCATGGGATTGTCCAGGCAAGAATACTGGAGTGGGTAGCCATTTCCTTCTCCAGGGGAGCTTCCTGAGCCAGAAGTCAAACCCAGGTCTCCCGCACTGCGGGCAGATTCTTTACCAGCTGAGCCAGCAGCGCAGCCCTTCCACCCTCAGGTCTCAGCAGAAACGCCATTTCCTAGAAGACCCCTGATCACCCGTTTTAAGTCAGTGCTCCTCCGCTATTCTCCTACCTGAGCTCCTTG